GGAAAGGTCTTTTGGATCGGTGGCTTGAGATCACTTGCTGATGATAATATTATTGATAATATCGTCAAGAATTATAAACCACTTAAAGATCTTTTGTCTGGTATAAGACGAAGGCCCAAAAGGTCATTTGCGATAAACAAAAACCGTCGAAACAGACGATCTGGTTCAAGAGCTAGAGGTTCAAACAGTCGAAACAGACGATCTGGTTCAAGAGCTAGAGGTTCAAACCGTCGAAACAGACGATCTGGTTCGAGAGCTAGAGGTTCAAACAGTCGAAACAGACGATCTGGCACAACAGTTAGAGGTGCAGGCAGTCGAAACAGACGATCTGGTTCAAGAGCTAGAGGTTCAAACAGTCGAAACAGACGATCTGGCGCAAAAGTTAGAGGTGCAGGCAGTCGAAACAAACGATCTGGTGCAAGAGGTGGAGGATTCAACAGGAGAAGACGTTATAATGGCAATAGGTAAACCAATCTTTTTTTTAATAAGATTACAATTTCGTATTTATCTTTTTGATTTGTGATATTTTTAATCTACACTGTAATCTTAAAAGTGATGTTATTTTAAATGGCGAATCTGTCTGTTTAAATTGATACTCTCTGTGAGACATCCCTTTGGTACAAACTGGTTAAATTAGAATATTCACATTCTTGTAGAGGACACTATATAAATTTAGGTATGGAGACCATTTCCCCACTGAAGAGAAAGGCGAATGGGAAGGCACAATGTAGACCAACATCTTCACAATTTCAAGCTATGACGAACTTATATCCTGACAACAGCTGCTGTTCGTATATTATTGAATACATCGATTTGATTGGATTGTTCGTTCGACAGACAATACAGCCAATCAGAGCCCTCGACAGAAAACATTATGGCTTCTTGTTCAAAAAACTTTTTGTCGAGGCCTCTGATCGATAGTTTTCGCTAACGAACAACCCAATCAATCGTTTCCTTTTTACAAACTTTCACGATACAAGAAAGGCTAGGTAGTCAAGGTATAAGACGAAGTTCGTTATAGCTTGCTATTGTGGAGATGGGCTACCACGATGTTCTCCTGCACTGGGAAACACGTAGTTTAGAATGTCATTGTCTCCTTTTTGATAGGAAACAAATACATTATTTATACAAATCTGTAGTAAAACCAATTCGTTATTAAGAAATATCCATTTCAGTTTTCTGAAGTAATCTTTTCTCAGGGCCGAGATAAGAGTAGACCTGATATTGTATTAGTAACAATACCAATTAAACTTCAAAGAGATCGTAAAGAGGTTTTCTAAACCTTTTATGTGTATCAGGTGATTTTCATAATGAAAGTACCTTTGCGATAGTGACGTCAAGTACAAATCGATGCCATAAGTGGCCCAATACACATACACGTTTAGAAAACTTCTTAGAAATCCCTGTAAATTTGATACTTTGCCCCTTTCCCATATAAGATAAACTATAAAGATAAAATTTTATTTGTGATCAGTTGAAGTTTGTAATTTGCATTTTGCTATATTTAGAGGAGGCAGTAGAAACGATCGCAGAACTATTACATATACCACTGAGGACGTTTACGGCTCTTTCTTAGTTAATGCCTGGAACTCATATCCTACTATGACCAACAAAAACTACCGTGGCTGCATCAGACGACTCAGTGGCGGAGCTCGAACATTCGAACAGATTCAGTTTGAAGAAGATGACGATGACGAAGAGGAAGAACGCATACAGAAAAAACAGAGCAGACTGAGAAGGAGGAAAAACAGGAAACTTGGTGGTTGTCTCGCTTTATCAATCAGTGGTGCAGATGAGGTCACCCTTCGTTTTACCAAATGTAGCCACAAACATCATTTCATCTGCCAAAAATGTAAGTAGAATGAACACTGTCATAATCGTTTGAATTATTGTATTCAGGTCACTAAGTTTTTTTCATTCAATTCTCAAATTCTGAAATGTTTAATTCTTAATTCAATTCTTAATTCAATTCTAAATTCAATTCTTAATTCAATTCTAAATTCAATTCTTAATTCAATTCTTAATTCAATTCTCAATTCAATTCTTAATTCAATTCTTAATTCAATTCTTAATTCAATTCTTAATTCAATTCTTTCAATTCTCAATTCAGTTCTAAATTCAATTCTTAATTCAATTCTTAATTCAATTCTCAATTCAATTCTCAATTCAATTCTCAATTCAATTCTAAATTCAATTCTCAATTCAATTCTCAATTCAATTCTCAATTCAATTCTAAATTCAATTCTCAATTCAATTCTTAATTCAATTCTCAATTCAATTCATAAATTCAATTCACAATTTCTCAAATTCTTAAATTCAATTTTTCAGCTAAAAACGTTGATTCATCTCAGCTATATTGGACAGATTGGTTTGACACAGGTAAAGAAAACAGAGGTGAAATGGAATCTGTGTCACAAGTTTTGAAATTAAAGGTGAGGATATAAAACATCGTCAGGAAGACTGATATCCGGAATACATTCTCATTCCTGTCGTAACATGTATTAAACAGGTGGTCAGGAGAATGTCGATATAAGGTTTTATAAAAGATACTCTCTTATAGAAGCACTGGCCTAGGTCACAAGTAGAGTTGATGGATTTCAGCATTGGAATAGAACTACATCAATTTGATAAGAAATTACCTACTTGTGGAGAGATTTACATGATAAACAAATAATTCAAAGATGCTTATGAGTTAATGAAAGGGGATTTAATCTACCATGGACAAGAACATTACTCAGATTTTATTCCTTTTGTAAGCAGTCACCAAACTTTTAGTATAGATATTAGAGAATTCGTGCTGAAGTTCTTAATAAAAGCGTTTGACAATCACGGAGGCATTTTTAGCTGTAGAAGTGTAGGTGGTAACGAATGGTTGCTTAAAGGGATTATAAAGAAGTTTCTTAACATAGCATGAGGCATTTTACTTAATATAGTTAGGGCCCTGGGTGGCATCCATGCATATATCAATTTATAGAAAAGGGCGGGAATCTACTAGCCTAGTTGAGTCTACGGACACATTTCTCTGGATTTTGGTACATATTCTCATAAAGTAGAACAAAAAACTTTGAACTTACGAAAATACAGAATACCCCATTTCATCGTATTATTTTATGTTTAGGATATTTGATGGCTGATTGGTAAAAGTGATAAATGGTATTGATCCGTCTTTTAAAAACTACAGACGCCATGTAGTGCGCAATAGGGATATTCATTTTGGGTGAAGTCTTGTATTCGATTTCAAACAATCTCGCTGTATTTTAAGCTATCCATATTCTCCCTAGAGTTCTCAGATGTTTTCTATGATTTTTTTTATATTGTTCTGATTATCTTCAGAGCGCTCTGGATGGAGACAGACCAGCCTGTGCCAATCCCGTCGGTATGCGATGCAGAATTAAAAGTAACAAAAAACCAATTGATGCCAAGAACAAGCAAGGTTATAAATTGCGTTCAGCATGTGAAAATGGCTCCTTTAAATGTAAAGATTCACAAAATCCCGGCAAAAAATGCCCTGATGTTGAAGTAAAATTCAACTGCAGAGTTGGTGAGTTATTTTTGATGTTCAGTCATTTTATTATAAAATTGATAAAAATCATCATAAGGATTAAATCGATTCCACTGACAGTCACTGACTTGAGCCAATTCTAAATTTTGGATGTGATTTGAATACCAAGTTAAAATATTATAACCTTTTGCGAAATTCGACTTATTAAGTCGAGGAAAGGTTTAAAATGGTCTGTGAACTAAGTTCGTGTGTGTTATTTCCATGTAAGAACCATACCTAGTTTCGTATGCAGGTAAGTCATGATTAATTCTCCAATATAGACGCGATCAACAAGACGTACATCTTTCGGATGCAAACACCAATTTTGCATTGAGATAAGCTTGTGAACGTAACATATAAAAAGTTAGATATTTATAGTTAGGTGTATTTTTGAAGGGAATACGCGATTTGTGTGCTGTTCTAATACTTCTGAAGAGCGAAGACTATTTACATTCAAGGCCCAATCAACAACGGAAATGTCGAGCAATTGCCTTTTAAGGGATTGTAAAGAGGTTTTCTAAAATTTTAAGGTTTGCCGGGGACACTGATACTCGATACACATTAAAATTTTAGAAAAAAAACTCTTAACATCATTTTCCAAGATTTTACATGCCAAATAATGTTGTTTTCAAGTTTTATTTGGAGGGTTTACATAAAAGATTTGCTCTCATTGTCTTCATTACCGTTTTTGTGTTGAAACGTTACGTGCTTTGTTATTTAAGAAGTGAATTATACCATAATATCCCTTGTGTTTTTTGTTATAGGGTTTACATAGTTAATATTGTCAATATGTGTGTTGTTTTATTTATTTAGACTTCGACAAATGTAGCATAGAACAAAACCGAAAGAAATGTAGTAGAAAGAACATGATCTGTCAAGATATGGCTTCCGGAGGTCATAAATGTGTAGCTCAAACTTGTAAATCTGAAAATTCAGTCTGCTACGACAAATGTCAAGGTAATAGACCAATTCTTTTTTTAAATTGATTAAAATGTAGATTAATAGAGTCCGTTTATCTTTCGTTTCCTTCTAGAGTCGTTAACCTGAAGGTCCAGGGTTCAATCCCGTCATAGGCCGAAATTTTCTAACCCGGTCTACCACTGTAAGTGATGCAGATCGGAGGGACATGACCTTGAAAAAAGCCTCTGGTCGTTCGTATGCCCTGTGTGCTACAGTCTATGCACGTTTAAGATCGAAATCGCTGGCAAAATTTCCCTCATTGCAAAAAGTGCAATTAAGGGCAAAGCAATAGGACGTAAAACTTGTTTTATTTCATCTAATGTTTTCTTCTCTCTGGCAAGTGTGAGTGTCTATACAATGAATACGTGACACCAGGTAGAGGTCGGAAAATTTCTGATGAAACATCGATATTTGTAGATGTCACGAAAAAGGATCTTCTCCGAATGATATGTAAAACTCAATTCAATATGGTTCCATTTATTTTACAGAGGCTAAGCTCTGTAAAGCTACCGGTGACCCCCATTACCGAACCTTTGATGGCAAAAAATACAATTTCCAAGGAGATTGTACCTATGTCCTCGTTCAATCTATTGACGAAAGCGGTTTGGATCCATTTATTGTAAAAGCCAACAACTACAAGAAAAAACCAACGGCTAGAGTATCTTATACCAGATGGGTTTCATTAGACTACGCCGGCCACACGTACAAACTGGACTGGAAGAGGAAATTAATCGTTAGTATCTTATTTTTATATAATTTACATGTAAAATAAAGTCCCCATGCGTCTCTGTTTTTTAGAAAAACTTTTTATTTTGAATTCTTAGGCATTCACCACAATTAGCTGGTGCCGAGGTTTGAAACAATTCTGACAACTGACCCATTTCACTACTTCAACTTAACACCATACTCCATTTCCCTTCAGATATATTACTTAAACAAGCAAGTCTGTCTAAAGGCACAAGTATCAAACCATCATTGTTTTAAAATTCATTACATTTTTAACTCAGATTGATCAATTTGGTTCAAGTTGAGAACTAAATTTGGGTTTTCCCATTAATGTCAAATGAGCTTTTGGCCTGATTATTTATGATATAAATATTTCATACTTGAAAGCAATGTAAGTCGTCTCACCTTGATCTACTAGCGTTTCGAGGGTTGGTGGGCTGCTAGGTAGGTCATCCCCACCTAATGTGCTCTTGGAAATGCCTTTAAATATTGCCTGTGTTAACTAGATTGATGGTCAAAGAACGTGTGCACCATACGAAGATGAAGAGGTGGGTATTAGTATCGAACAATGTGGTAATGATTTAGTTATCAAAACGAAATTCGGATTAGAAGTGAGATACAATGGTATGCACAACGCCTACGTATTGGCCAGCACTAAACTCATGCATAAAGTAGAGGGTTTATGTGGTAATTACAATGGTAAAAGCAGCGACGATCTGAGACTCAGGGCCAACTTCCCGGGAACAGCAAGTGTATCCCAAACCGATAACTTTGGTAACAGTTGGGTAACCAATGACGACAACGAAGACAGCCAAAAGTAAGGATAAATATTTTGTTACAACAAGTAAAAAATTAATATGACTGACAAGCATATTCATTTTACCTCAAAATAAAAGAGACTATTCATGTTTATATTTGGAATCGTCTCCGGAGGTGCTCCAATATCTGTGCTCGATTACCTCACAAATTTAGAAATGTGATTTTTATACCAAAATATTTGTTAGAATGCACGCAGTCAATTAAACTTTTCGAAAATGTCCCTGGGAGAACACTCTTACACGCTCCAGGAGAGGCTTGCGACAAAATACCTCCACAGAGTTTTGAAATCAGCCTCGACAGTGGTCCGCCATTGGATTCGTCTGCCTGTTATCTGTACCCCCGGTCTTAGAAGGCTGGCTCCGCCACTCTTCAGAATCACATTTACACAATCAAGTATGTGTAAATTGCACTATTAACACCAAATTAGAACTGACAGTTTTTGTTGTTGAATTTTCTGTTTGCTGTTGACTGTCTTCATCAGAATATAACCAGGAAATATATTAAATTCTTTTTTCATTTTATCTTCTAGGTGTAAAATCGCTATTACTAATGAGGAATGTCCAGAAAACGAGCAAAAGAGATTGAAAGTTGATAAAAACGGATGCGGATGGCTGTTTGACCAAAATTCCCCATTTAAATTAGCCGCAATTAAAGCTGGCTCTCCTCCTGAATTTGATGCAGCTGCCGAGGATTGTGTTTATGATGTGTGCGCTGATAAAGATCATGAAAAAGTCCGCTGTGAACAATATAACGAAGTCTACAAAATGCTGTTAGGTCTTGGACAAACGGTTAAAAATTGGCGAGATATTACTAAGTGTCGTAAGTTGAAACCAAATCTTTAACAATGAGATCAGATTAACAAGGACATTGTTTCTTTCAGTGGCGTCCCTATACATTATTTGTTGTAGGAGAAAACAGAGACAACCGCACTAATTATTTAAGAAGTCAATTAAACAAAAAACTGGTTGCGTATGGAAGAGGGGTTTGGGGGAGTCTGGGCAACTGCCTTGTTCTTAATTTAAGATGATTTTATTGCTCCGGGCCCGTTAATAAATATAAACGACTTACGCCCCCCGATATTTTGATCTCCTTTGTAATTTTCAGCCCTGAAGTGTCAAGGTGACAAAATCCCAGTGAAAGATGCTCGTGTATGCGAACCTACCTGCAGTGATATGCATCCTACCTGTCTGGAGATTGAACCCGATGAGGTTTGTCGATGTCCAGAAGGACAAGTTGCTGACGCAGATAATTCATGTAAGGATATCGCGTCATGTGGTTGTAAATATCTAGAGATGTATATACCAGTAAGTTCTCCATCAATAACATTTTCTTCCATTGTTCCTAATTATTGTTCTTAGCTGAATGATAGTTTCCCTCATTAAGTCGCTGAACTTGGCCCTAGGACTTAAATGAGTAAAGGGCCCTACCTCTGGGAGATGTTTTTTTAACGTATGCTCACCTGCATTTTTTCCTGGAGGTTGAGCCCCACCATTGAGGAAGGACGTGGTTTAATCAACCCCTAAGGTAATTTAGCATTGCTCACAATTGTTTAGAGAAATAATCATTGTTTGTTTTTATAGGTTGGAGATTCAACAGTAGTTAAAGGATGTTTAAAGACTATTACCTGTAAAGAGAATTCTGCTGGTATTCCAGAAATCGAGGAAAATCCATTACAATGCCACGAATTCGCAGATTGCAAAGGTCGCAAGTGTAAATGTAAATCTGGATATTCTGGAGATGGTGTTAAGTCATGTGAGTTTAATATGTTAGCTTTTTATACACCTGCATTGGCGGCGTCAGCTTCCTGGATACAGTACTGGGGTACAAAAAGGGACAACTGTGGGTTTTCACATGCGGAAGCCCCATAAGCGCAGAGGCAATCCATTTTCACCCCAAAATATGGATTATTTTATTCATTTTGTATTCATGAGATTTATTGAATTACAGGTGTTATTGATGCATCCAAAATCAGATGTCCCCAGGGATTCAAAAAAAGGGGAAAGAAGTGCTACAGAACATTGGCTAGCAAACTTACCTGGCAAGACGCCGCTTTGGCTTGTGCTAGTTTAACTGACGGATCTGAATTGGCTCGATACGATAATGAAGAAGACAAGACGTTCTTGATCCAAGCAGCTCATTATGTATCAGGTGATTACTCCCCTTTTTTACTGTGTCTCTCAGGCCCGTAGCTAAAGGGGGCAAGATGCGGGGGTAATGAAAAAAAGAGGTTGTCCCTCTGAACAAATTCTCACAACCTCCGTATTTCATCACTGCAGCTAGACACCATACTAAATTGCTACATCGAGTTGACGATTCCATACCATACATTCTCCAATACAAACCGCATGCTTGTATAAGACGCATTTGGGCCCATGCCAGTCCTACCATATTATGATTAGATACACATTTCGATATTCTAACTAGGTTTTTATCAGAGTAGTTCGTAACAATGCATGACATTGAAACATTATAACAGACGACGAATCTGTGTTTTTATAACAGACGACGAATCTGTGTTTTTATAACAGAAGACGAATCTGTGTTTTGATAACAGCGGACGAATTTTGGGATAGAAAAAAACCAAAAGAAGCTGTCATATTTGTCTACGTTGGGTCCTACAAGATGCATGAACATGACTGTAGTAGGAAACTGGTTAGATTATAATTAAAATTAATTGACACCGCCCAAAAGAAAGAAGGAAAATGCTAATGGTATTATTATTTGATGTAAAGGTGTTCTTAAAAGGTCTGCCTCTCGAGGCGGTCGTGGCAGAAAGAGGAAAAACAAAAGAGGGAAAAAGAAGAGAAATAAATCGGGCAACCTTGGTGAGAAATGCACTGCACAAGAAAAAGCACATTTTTACTTAAACAACGAGAGCTCCCCGTTATTTCACTTCATTGCTTTTTCTTCTTTTCACTGAAATCTCTTATCTTCGGTCTTGGGGCCTGTTTCATGTATCGTAGCTGTAACTCTAGATACAGGCAAGATTTCAAAATAAAGAAATATGATTGGCTTTAACCACTAGATTTAAAATCTATTTGAATGACTGACCAATCAGAATACTGGAAGTCTAAAATTATCGTATGTTATAATTTCGTGAAACAGGTCGAGTTCCGGAATTGAGTGACGTATAAATTTCCTTACTCCGTACTTTTGAATATTAGCACTTAGCACTTTTACAAATTAGCACCTTTACAAATTAGCACTTTTACAAATGAGCACAATCCCAATCACGCTTTCCTTGCATGATATACATTGCTGAATGAAAGGGATAGATTCGTTTTAAAATTTGCTGCACCAACTGATGGAGCTTAATTCAAGAACCTATCAGACCGCACCACCTGTCAGAATGGAAATCGGGCGTGTGGTTCGTTACAATTAAAAAAAACTGCGTTATTGACCGTTTCTTGTCTCTGTGTTATTTATGTCGCCGATAAGGAATATCAGTATTAACGCTATTTTCGTCTGTGGAAGTTTACATTATACTAATGAACAAACAGATACTTGATTCGATTCTCAAATATGTTTTGTATAGCTGAAATTTCGGTCTGGTGTGATACTGCTTTGTTCAACCTACACGAATCAAGAATATTTGGATGATTTTATCATCTTTACAATGTCGACAATTACGACCTTTAGCTTATACCTTGACTGCAACAGTCACCTTTCTTGTATCATGGAAGTTTGTATATGAAGCGATAAGATTGAATAGTACACTAATGAATACAGCCAATCAGATTCCTCCACAGTAAGTCTAAGCAACTATGATTCTGTCGAGGCCTCTGATTGGTTGTATTGGGCGGCGCACAATCCGATCTAATTGCTGCATTCTGTGATACAAGAAAGACAGCTATTGTGATGGTGGAATAAGTCGAAGGTCGTAAAAGCTTGCACTTGTGAAGATGAGCGCTGATGCATGCAAATCAAAGAATCGGATGAAGAAAAGTTTTCTTTTATGAGTGTAAGACAAGACGAAATTTTCCAGCCATTATTGAAGGAAACTCTGGAAATGTTTTGTCAAGGATTTTTGTCCTAATGGGCACCTTTTAGTATACAATATAAATTTGTGATTCATCCCTTTTCTTAAAAAAGAGACATAACTTTGTTAAAGAGCTACAATAGCTATTGCTTAGAGTGAAAGATAACAGTCTTTATAAATAAAATTTTTGTAACAAATCGAAGAATAGGCCTACCTTTCTTGATATTTTTCTTTTACGGATTCAGTTTTTTTATGCTTTTCTTTGTGTATCTTTGACGCTCATTGCCTCCATTCGTCCTTTTCCATTTTCAATCCTTAAACCAAGAGTCGGTTTCACAAGGTTTACGATCGCCACATGTTTACGACCTGTTGTGACACGGTCTCCTCTGATTTTGAAAAAGAACCTGTCAAGATTTTTAGGCCTCCAAACTACTTACTATTCAGACGCTCTCTATAGCTCAAATAGAAGCCAAGTGTCTTCTTAATGTCAAAAGCCTAGACAATTTTTTTGGAATACTTTTAAACGGATTGTTAAAGGGGTGTGTGTATCTGGCACACTGATAGCATCAATTTACACCATTCCATTTTTCAGTCAGACGTCTGCGGTTTCTGCAATTCCACTGAAACTAAGTGCTTGTTGACGTCACTAATAGCGAAGGGCTTTACGTGAAACAGGCATATTTTTGCAGCAACCACAAACGTCTAATTGAAAATAAGAATGGTGCAAATTGATGCTATCAGTTTCCCCTATACACACAAAATTAAAAAAAAACTTCTTTACAATCTCTTTTAAGGCATTTGTCCAGTTTTATTAACTGTGATATTCAAATTTTTTCTTGTAGATTTTTGGATTGGAGGAAACACCCATATTTTACGCAAAGTAAAGAAAGAGGGTTTAACATCTCAGTTGGACCCCCCACAGCTCATCACTAATGGATTCGGACAAGAAGGTTGTTTTTATGGAAGAATTACACAGGGTCGCGATAGAAATTACTTAAGCCAAAGAAGGACGAGACAGCGACAATATAGTATGAGATCAAGGAGGAGAAATGTACGTAGACGATATAGGAAAAATAGGCAGAGCTCATCAAGAAGATCAAGAAATTCTCGAGGAAATAGACCTAACGGCTCATCAAGAAGATCAAGAAATTCTCGAGGAAATAGACCTAATAGCCCATCAAGAAGATCAAGAAATTCTCAAGGAAATAGACCTAATAGCCCATCAAGAAGATCAAGAAATTCTCGAGGAAGTAGACCTAATAGCCCATCAAGAAGATCAAGAAATTCTCGAGGAAGTAGACCTAATAGCCCATCAAGAAGATCAAGAAATTCTCGAGGAAGTAGACCTAATAGCCCATCAAGAAGATCAAGAAATTCTCGAGGAAATAGAGCTAAAAGTTCATCAAGAAGATCAAGAAATTCTCGAGGAAATAGAGCTAAAAGCTCATCAAGAAGATCAAGAAATTCTCGAGGAAATAGAGCTAAAAGCTCATCAAGAAGATCAAGAAATTCTCGAGGAAATAGAGCTAAAAGCTCATCAAGAAGATCAAGAAATTCTCGAGGAAATAGAGCTAAAAGCTCATCAAGAAGATCAAGAAATTCTCGAGGAAATAGAGCTAAAAGCTCATCAAGAAGATCAAGAAATTCTCGAGGAAATAGAGCTAAAAGCTCATCAAGAAGATCAAGAAATTCTCGAGGAAAAAGAGCTAATAGCAAATCAAGAAGATCAAGAAATTCTCGAGGAAAGAAATTTAAAAGATCACCTAAAGAAAATTCCAAAAAAAAGGTGAAAAGATCACAACGATCCAATAGGCAAAGAAACAGGAGATCAAACAGAGGACAAAGAAACAGGAGATCAAACAGATCTAGAAGATCTTCAAGAAGAAACAATCGTAAACGTAAGCCTTGTTTTTCTTTTATATGCAATAAATTCCACTCCATAATATGTACAAGTAATTTTAAGAATTAACATGCCTTTATATCAAAGAAAAAAAACCATAATGTCAATCAAACCGAATGAACAGCCTGTCGTATACATCTAGAGTCAATATGCTTGACACAATGTTGGTCAGAATGTACCGTGCCTGTCAAAATCATAATATATTGCTAGTGTTTATATGTGTTAAGAAAATTTAAAAGATGTGTCTGTGCATTGATATAAAATAATCAGAAATCTGTGAAAACTTATTGCAGCCGATCGAATTGGTAGAAATGCACAGTCAAAGATAAAGTTGGATATTAAAGTCTCTGCAAACTGTAACCACAAGAAAAACCCAGTTTGTGAATTCGGTAATTAATTTGTTTTATTTTCATCCTTTAATCGTGTCCTGACCTGTGAAATTTGACCTGCTACTTGCCTGCTAAACTCTGTCCTCGCTTTCGGTTTATTATTGGCAATATGTATATCTTGTTGTAATTTGACAGATCCAAAACTAGTAATAGTCACCTGAATATAGTTAAAACTGTTTCTAATTAATTCATACTTGCTGATTATGCGAGAGATCTTATTTTCTGGGTTTTTTTCTCTTAATGATGTGCTGATTTATAATTCGTCCAGCAAGTCACGTGATGTCATTGTCATTCTACCCATTGAAACTCTTTTGAGACTTACCGGTGTCTTTAGCGGGAAATGAGTGACAGGATGTCTGTGGTCCCCTGAAGAAGGCAGAAGCATTGATCAATTTTGCTCCATTGTTTACAGTCATAGCAATGCTTGCAATGCTCCTTTCCATCATCTTTATGACAGTTTACTATCTGTTCCATATGCACATAATTCACAGCATCCATAACGATGTCTAACCTTGTGTAAACCTTCTTTTGTTTATTTCTGGTTTCTAAAACGTAACCATGTACATTTTTGTTAAAATTTCTAGATCCAATTAAATTCTCCAAAAGACCTTCCGGCAAATCGAAACCAGTGAAACCCATCCGACGGCCCGGTAGATTATCCCTTACTGTGGAACAAGCTATAGCCAAGGAAGTAAGTGTAGCGTATAACTTTTATATTATCCTCAGGATGGAGTTATGACAGCGGTTACTTGAAATAAATGTCCTATAGTTACGGCAGAATACAGGTGCTCGAAGCAGACCATGCTTACTCGTTCAAAATAGGTGCTTCTCTTTGATTGACTATACTACTATACCACTGTTATTCTCCATTTGGCCATTTGCCGAGATTTGGAGATTCGGAATTGTCTGGCTGCATTCGTTAGCGTCCGTTATACAAGAAAGGTGGCTATTGCAGTATAAGTACCAAGTTTTCGTAATAGCTTAGTGTGAAGATGTATTTAAATGACATTGTACGACCATGGACTGAAGTTAACAAGTACCTTTTCTATTTAGCCAACTGTATGCAAAAATCCTTCCAAGATAACTTTCGAACCACCAGAGAAGGCGGGGGATGTAATTACAGTTGACCTTAAAAGAGGTTTTAAGTGTAGAGGTGCCTGTATAACACGTTACTCAGTTTTCTTTACATGCCCTAAAGGTAAGTACTTGAGAGAGCCTGGCTAAAGACCGTCTGGCTAGAGACAGTCTGGCTACAGTAGGTCTGGCTAGAGACAATCTGGCTAGAGACAATCTGGCTAGAACATCTGGCCAACAAATCCAAATGTTCGGAGCCACTACACTAGAATATTATATATATATGAATAGTTCATTTGCTACTTTATTTTACGGTATGTATCGCCTAATAAGGATTTTTATTTCCCAAATGCTTTTCAACAGCTGTCCGAAAGACTTATGATGTTGGTTTGTAAGAGGTGGGGCTGGTGGAAAGGGGGGTGGGGGTGGGGGTCGTTGTTGCTATCAAATATTTAGATCTTTAAACACATATCAGTTTCAAATGTAAATAGTAAAAATGGTTTAATTCCTTTTGCAGATGTTGATGAATGCGCACCCGAAGAAACTGGCACTAATGCTTGCTCTGGGGGTAAACAGTGTTCAAATACCTTTGGTCATTTTATATGTAAATGTCCTCCAGGTAGCGAATTGATAAAAAGGAAAGGAATATGTAAATGTGAGTAAAAAGTTTTTAAGAAATACCTTATTTGGAAATAATACATTATCGACATTACCATAGTTGGTAATAACAAAAAACATAATGTCATTGTGCTCAATATATCAATTGTAGAGCGATATAGAAATATTCTGAGGACCACTACTTGTCCAACTTCAGTAGGGAGACAGGCTGATATAGATCAGTTATCTGAAGATTTCTACTTGTCAAACTTCAGTAGGGATACAGGCTGATATAGATCAGTTGTCTGAAGATCTCTACTTGTAAAACTTCAGTAGGGATACAGGCTGAAATAGATCAGTTGTCTGAAGATGTCTACTTGTCAAACTTCAGTAGGGATACAGTCTGAAATAGATCAGGTGTCTGAAGATTTCTACTTGTCAAACTTCAGTAGGGATACAGGCTGAAATAGATCAGTTGTCTGAAGATCTCTACTTGTCAAACTTCAGTAGGGATACAGGCTGATATAGATCAGTTGTCTGAAGATCTCTACTTGTCAAACTTCAGTAGGGATACAGGCTGAAAAAGATCAGTTGTCTGAAGATCTCTACTTGTCAAACTTCAGTAGAGATACAGGCTGATATAGATCAGTTGTCTGAAGATCTCTACTTGTCCAACTTCAGTAGGGATACAGGCTGATATAGATCAGTGGTCTGAAGATCTCTACTTGTCCATCTTCAGTAGGGATACAGGCTGATATAGATCAGTTGTCTGATTATCTCTACTTGTCCAACTTCAGTAGGGATACAGGCTGATATAGATAGTTGTCTGAAGATCTCTACTTGTCAAACTTCAGTCGGGATACAGGCTGACATAGATCAGTTGTCTGAAGATCTCTACTTGTCCAACTTCAGTAGGGATATAGGCTGATATAGATCAGTTGTCTGAAGATCTCTACTTGTCAAACTTCAATAGGGATACAGGCTGATATAGATCAGTTGTCTGAAGATCTCTACTTGTCAAACTTCAGTAGGGATACAGGCTGATATAGATCAGTTGTCTGAAGATCTCTACTTGTCAAACTTCAGTAGGGATACAGGCTGATATAGATCAGTTGTCTGAAGATCTCTACTTGTAAAACTTCAGTAGGGATACAGGCTGATATAGATCAGTTGTCTGAAGATCTCTACTTGTCAAACTTCAGTAGGGATACAGGCTGATATAGATCAGTTGTCTGAAGATCTCTACTTGTCAAACTTCAGTAGGGATACAGGCTGATATAGATCAGTTGTCTGAAGATCTCTACTAGTCAAACTTCAGTAGTGATACAGGCTGATATAGATCAGTTGTCTGAAGATCTCTACTAGTCAAACTTCAGTAGGGACACGGGCTGATATAGATCAGTTGTCTGAAGATCTCTACTTGTCAAACTTCAGTAGGGATACAGGCTGATATAGATCAGTTGTCTGAAGATTTCTACTTGTAAAACTTCAGTAGGGACACGGGCTGATATAGATCAGTTGTCTGAAGATCTATACTTGTCAAACTTTAGTAGGGATACAGGCTGAAATAGATCAGTTGTCTGAGGTAGAGAATTACAAAGAGTCATCCTTGAGCATCGTTCGAATTATAAACTTAGCGCTATTTCCAAATTTTTTTCATGTACGAGCACTACAGTTTTATCATTTTACTTTTCAGCACGTAACGAATGCTCCTGCTCCGGAGATCCCCATTGCCTAACATATTTTGGGCATAAGATCGATTTCATGGGTAAATGTAAATACCTTATCAGTGGTGTATGTAAAGCTATTCAATCCAACCAAAAAGTCTGGAGAGTGGAATGTAAAAACACCAAATGTGGCAAACCAAATAAAGATGTGACATGTACCACGTGGTGTGAAACTACTATTTTCAAAACAGGCGGAGACTCTGTTGAAAAAGATGTCATTCGTATGGAACGAAAAGGAATAATGAAAGTAAGTATAATATATTTCCGAAATAGGCTTAACAAATGTTCACTGAAATTCTTTTAAATGGGCCCTGTTAGAAGGTTGTGTTCCTGCAATAACCTGCGTTCCCACAACTACCTGCGTTCCTACAATAACTTAAACAAATAACGTTTACTTTTGATTTCAGGTAAACGGTAACCGTATTGCTGATAGCCAAAGATTTTCAAATTTTGATGTGGCGGTATCCGGTAAACAGAGTACCTTAATGACTGACTTCGACTTAAAAGTTGTTTTTGATGGACGTTCTAGGATTTATGTCTACGCCCCAGATGGCTACCAAGGTAAATTATGTGGAATTTGTGGTGATATTGGTGCTGATGGAAGCTACTCTTACGAACTAGGGGATACCAAGGAGGCATTTGTGCCTGTATTTAAAAGTAAAAGGAACAAAGTGTTCAACCCCAGATCAGCTCTGGATTATGGAAATAGTTGGCAGGTTAATGACCCCGCTGATCCAAAGTAAGCGTTTTAATCCTCTAAATTTCATTTCTCGGATCAAACGGATCACACACGTTTCGAGGTATTGCATAAATAATTAAAAAAAGCACGAACGACTAAGATGTCTTTAACCTATTGAATCAAACATTCTATAAAAGTTTTGAAGAATTAAATGCCTAATAAGACATATTATAGAAATATCCGAAGCATATAGAGTTTATATCCTACTAAATCAAATATTATTTTGAATTTCACAAACAATATTGTACACCAGTCTAGTGGTTTACTAAAGAGCTTTAACGAACTTCTTAATGATGATATTTACAGATGTAAGAAAGTAGATAAACCAACCGAGGGATGTTCGGTTGAAAAAGACGCTTTCTATAGAGCACCCGAAAGGTGCGGTAAGATCAGGACATTGTTGGAAGACTTAAAGTCCGAAATCGTTCTTTCTGAAGACCAAGCTAAAAAATTTAATCCCGAAGAAGATATCGAATCGTGTGCCTTTGATTCGTGTGCAGAAGAGAGCAAAGCAGATGAGATTATTTGTGACGCAGTTGAAGGTTACGCCTCGAAGTTATTTAAAGCTACGGGTACTACACTGGAATGGAGAACTGATGATTTTTGTTGTAAGTGGTCAATTGATATTTCATACTGCATTTTTATACCCCCAAATGAAATGGGGGGCGGGGTCGTATATTGGCGTCACCCATGCCCGTCTTTGCGAATTTTGACCAAACTTGCTGTGACTATTTGTTATCACCCAGGCATGAACCCTATTGAAAATCGAAAAATATTTTGTATTTTTTGTGTTATTGACCATGTTCTTGAAAACGCTTTTAATGTTTAGCTCTTAAACACTTAAGGCACTTTCTTGTCGGATTTTACAAAACTTGGTAATATTAATATTTTTCAATATCACCCAGAAAGTTCAAAAGAAATGTATGACTGAAGGTTGAATATTTCATAATGGTGATTGTTACTGTACCGCCAAATATTTTTACTCAAAATCAAAGCTGCCAGTGGGCGTATTTTACCTTGCCTGGCATGCTATCTTTAACTTATGTTTTCACTTTTCGCAATACTAACAACAGGTACGACGTAAATCTTACGGTAAGAATATTCTACAACGTCATTCTTGTAAGGGGGGTGGGGGAGTGTTTTGCACGCCCTTAATCTTTGATAAATCTATCTTGAAATTTTTTCATTTCAATTTAGCTGCCACGGTAACCATCTTAAAATCATGGTTTAAAGTACGTAGCCTATGTGTGACCACGGCCTCATCGCAAATATTTTGTCAGAATAACGCTTTGTGGGTGTGTTTGTCATATTTTGTCTGAGGTTTCAACTTTTTCTCATTATAATTATGTTTCATGAAATGGGGGGCGTATGTATAGAATATGCCTGTCCGTCAGTCCGTCCAAATTATTCGTAAACACTCTAGAAGGCACAGATCTTGACGGATTTTTGAGGAAACTTGGCGTGAGTATTTGTAAGGACCCGAGGATGAACCCTATCAAAAAACGGAAAAAAGCGAAAAGTACCTAGTATAAGTTATTGCCCTTGTTTTTGAAAATTGTGCAATTTTTAACTCGTAAACACTCTAGAAGGCACAGATCTTGAAGGATTTTGACTTAAACTGAGTTATCACCCTTGTTCTTGAAAACGTATTTAATTTTTTATCTCATAATCACTAAAAGTCCGGATTTTGACAAAACTATTTTATACTAATGAGTACTGCTTAATAACTTTATTCAAAATCAAGGCTTCCAGTGGGTGTATATTGTATTGTCTGGCAAGCTATCATATTTGATGACGTAACCTTCAGTGTTTCGAAACGTAGTATGTAATAAAGTCAGACGTAGTATTTGTACATCTAGGTGTTTTAATGTAACCTTTTTACTTATATTTCTAATCAATTTTATTTTACAAAGCTCTAAATTGTGGTCCAAAGGAGACACCGAAATTGAATGCCAAATGTGATGTAGAGTGTGGACAAGAGAGGAGTATTTTGGACAGTTGTGACGGCGAAGCCAAAGACAGGTGTGTCTGTAAAAATCCTTTCAGACGAAAAGGCACAGATTGTGTCTCAGTAAGCATGTGTAGCTGTGATGTACCAATCACCGTAGCAGGTGCAGGAAACGCATTCTTCAAGCTTCAGGTAAGTAACCAACAATATTCAGAAGTTCGAGTTATACTCCTCACTGCCATGTAAAGGTTTTTTTAAGGACTAATGACATAAATGTCATTTTTGATTGAACCGTCTTTTGTCTTTAAACGTCTGGAGTTAATAAGCTCAAACTTGTATAATATCTATCAGAGACTAGGTCAGCAAGTTTTAGACTAGTATAATATCTATCAGAGACTAGGTCAGCAAGTTTTAGACTAGTATAATATCTATCAGAGACTAGGTCAGCAAGTTTTAGACTAGTATAATATCTATCAGAGACTAGGTCAGCAAGTTTTAGACTAGTATAATATCTATCAGAGACTAGGTCAGCAAGTTTTAGACTAGTATAATATCTATCAGAGACTAGGTGAGAGTCAGTTAGTTTCAGACTAGTATAATAACTATCAGAGACTAGGTAAGAGTCAGCTAGTTTCAGACTTGTATAATAACTATCAGAGACTAGGTCAGCAAGTTTTAGAGTAGTATAATATCTATCAGAGACTAGGTCAGCAAGTTTTAGACTAGGATAATATCTATCAGAGACTAGGTCAGCAAGTTTTAGAGCTAGTATAATATCTATCAGAGACTAGGTGAGAGTCAGTTAGTTTCAGACTAGTATAATAACTATCAGAGACTAGGTAAGAGTCAGCTAGTTTCAGACTTGTATAATAACTATCAGAGACTAGGTCAGCAAGTTTTAGACTAGTATAATATCTATCAGAGACTAGGTCAGCAAGTTTTAGACTAGTATAATATCTATCAGAGACTAGGTGAGAGTCAGTTAGTTTCAGACTAGTATAATAACTATCAGAGACTAGGTAAGAGTCAGCTAGTTTTAGACTAGTATAATATCTATCAGAGACTAGGTGAGAGTCAGTTAGTTTCAGACTAGTATAATAACTATCAGAGACTAGGTAAGAGTCAGCTAGTTTCAGACTTGTATAATAACTATCAGAGACTAGGTCAGCAAGTTTTAGACTAGTATAATATCTATCAGAGACTAGGTCAGCAAGTTTTAGACTAGTATAATATCTATCAGAGACTAGGTAAGAGTCAGTTAGTATCAGATTAGCATAATATTTACCAGAGACTAGGTAAGAGTCAGTAAGTTTTAGACTAGTATAATATCTATCAGAGACTAGGTCAGCAAGTTTTAGACTAGTATAATATCTATCAGAGACTAGGTGAGAGTCAGTTAGTTTCAGACTAGTATAATAACTATCAGAGACTAGGTAAGAGTCAGCTAGTTTTAGACTAGTATAATATCTATCAGAGACTAGGTAAGAGTCAGCTAGATTCAGACTAGTATAATAACTATCAGAGACTAGGTAAGAGTCAGCTAGTTTTAGACTAGTATGATAACTATCAGGGACTAGGTAAGACTCAGCTAGTTTTAGACTAGTATAATATATATCAGAGACTAGGCAAGAGTCAGCTAGATTCAGACTAGTATAATATCTATCAGAGACTAGGTAAGAGTCAGTTAGTTTCAGACTAGTATAATATCTATCAGAGACTAGGTAAGAGTCAGCTAGATTCAGACTAGTATAGTATCTATCAGAGACTAGGTAAGAGTCAGCTAGTTTTAGACTAGTATGATAACTATCAGGGACTAGGTAAGGGTCAGCTAGATTCAGACTAGTATAGTATCTATCAGAGACTAGGTAAGAGTCAGCTAGTTTTAGACTAGTATAATAACTATCAGAGGCTAGGTATAAGAGTCAGCAAGATTCAGACTAGTATAATAACTATCAGGGACTAGGTAAGAGTCAGCTAGATTCAGACTAGTATAATATCTATTCGAGACTAGGTAAGAGTCAGCTAGTTTCAGACTAGTATAATATCTATTCAAGACTTGAAGTATGAGTTATTGCCCTTGTTCAGAAAAATATTTAGTATGAGTTTTTTTTAGCTTGTAAACGCTCTGTATGACCGAAGGTTGATATTTCACACTGGTATTGTTACTGTACTGCAAATATTATTGTTTAAAATAAAAACTGCTAGTAGTTGTCGTTGCCAGGCAAGTTATCTTTTTTAAAAAAAAAATTTCAATCGATTGATTTTAGTCCGGTGAGGAAGCGCTAAATGGAGATTGTTCTCAAAAAATTAGATGTGCCAACGGAAAAACCACAGACATCGAAGCTGTTACACTTGATCCTAATGCTGAATGTAAAGTTGTTGATAGTCGTACTAAGGTTGTTTGCAATGACCATTTTGAATTGGACGCAAACGGCAAGTGTGTATGTAAGTAAAAAAATTTTAGATTTTTTTTCGTCGGGAATACCTAAATATACGTGTTCTCATTGTATCTTATTTCAACATTTACAACTTACCTCCGAGCAAACTACCGCCTCAAATTTCACTTTCCGACTGAAAACAGTTTGAAAGTGACGCATCATGACAAAAACCATGACTTGAGAAAACTGTTGATGGGGAATAATTATTGGTGTATGTGAATTTCCGGTTACCCAGATAGATTGCAGTTCACCTTGCTGTAATCGGGGACAGGAGCCAAATTACATGCGAAACTACGTATGGTTCATACATAGAACTAACACCGACCCACAGTTTATTTTGAATCTTTTCCTCGACTTAATTCGCATTTTTAAAAAGGTTATAATATTTTAACTTGGTATTCAAATCATATTGAAAGCCATTTCAAAATCTTTATATAGTAATTCTTTATACAAGTAATGTTGGCCGAAGCCATAGTTACAAAAATATAAATTATAAATTACAATTATCACAGTGGTTTGTACTTAGCTTGAACATGGACGCACATGCTCTTTGAAATACTTAAAGAAAGTAGGTATATCTACTATTCCATACATTTGTAATAATTACACTGTTTATAAGAGCGACTATGATGGAAGGCGTGGTATCTTAAACAATGAATACATTATGTTATAATAGGCATACAGTGAACGAACAAGTGGGCAGAGTTCATGTTCTTTTGCATAGCCATTACCGGTTATGAAGTAAATTGAGAATAATCCGAAGACTCTGATCACTCTCTGAGTCTTAAAAAAGACTATAGTATAGCCATTGCAGGCTAAGAAGTAAAGGTTTTGATGTCAAAACACTGACAACACACTTGTAGTCTTGAAAAAGACTGTTACATAGCCATTGCAGATTATATAATTAGGCTGAAACACTATACACTTGGAAATAGAGTGATACATTTAGACACTAGAGTTAAGAATTTTTTCTATCCCCAAAAGCTTGATCAATATATCTTGAGATTGAGCTTAAAATACTATCATTTGTTAAATTGTAAATTTTTTGAAAATTTTCTCTTATCTAGGTACATTTGTGGAATGTAGATTTTGCTTATGTCTTCTAATGCATCACAGATTAGCATGAAATGGACCATGTCCTCACAATCGGAGTCACATAACAAACATTTAGGGTCATTACATTGCTTCCTTCTAAAAAGGTTCATAGCTAATGGAAACAGATTTAGCCTCAATTTAGTTATATTTCTTTTCTGATGATAGCTTATGTTAGAAGTCAAGTAGGACTTTAAATTTATGTTGACCTTGAATTGTCTGTATTTAGTTAGGCTGGATATCTTGTCAAAGGCATGTTTACCAACTTACACCAGTACTTAATACATAGTGACATATAAAATATACTTAAAGGGGAGCGGCCACATTCGTCTAAAGCCCCTAAATTGGTGCTACTTTTATGAATGCCCAGAATTGAGCTCCATATGTTAATGTTAATGTTGGATGGATGTCCAGTTTTAATAACTAATCCCTTAATGGGAATGAGTGCTTTTTCTGCTTTAGCTGCATGGTCACTTAGGCATTTCGACCAGACCAGTCTCGATGAGAAACATAGACAAAGATAATTGTAATACCTCACAGTGCACAATTGTTCGCATTTAAAGTGCTGTTTTTCATTTTTGCGCAATGGACCACCATTACGGAAAACAATGACTTTTGTCTTGTCCGTATTGACATTAAATTCAATTTCTGACAAAACTGTTCAAGGACAATCATCTTCCTTTGAAGCTCTCCGACTGTATCTGCCAATAAAGACAGGTCGCCAGCATACAGCAGAAGTAAAATGTGGTTAACCTCTTGAACAGTTAAACCGTCTTCATTAGCCCACAAGGTGCAGAAGAGTAGGACGTAAAACTCCATTCATTTCATTTCATTTCATTTGAACAGTTAAAATGACACTTATGTTTTCTCTGTTTTCTAGCATATAAATGAGTTCATTTATGTAAAAACAAAATAAAATTGGACTAATTATACAGCCTTGACGTACACCTCTATTGCATTGAAAGAATGGCGTGATAGAGTTTCCGAGCTTGACAAAACGGTTTTATACATGGACCTTAATGTGGTATACATTTTTCCTTGTATGCCTTTTGAAATGAGTATTTACAGAATCGAAAGCTTTTGAAAAATCAACGAATAGGCTATAGATTCTGCCTTTAGGGCGCGAGCGATATCTTTGAGTCCATGTAGACTGAAAATGTGACCTACAGTGGAGTATCCAACCCCATACCCTGCTTGGGCCTCTTCATATTGATGTGGGTACTCAGACCAGTGTATTAAACTATTATTTAACACGGCAGTGTAAATTGTACCAAGACTATCAAGTAAAGCAATTGCCCTATAATTATCTTTGTCAGATTTAGACCCTTTCTTAAAATTAAGTGTTATCAGACATTTGGACCACGATTCCGGAAAATGAAAATAACATTAAACAAGAGTGTTATGGCTGGCACAATACTTTCAGTAGTTGCTTTAAGGAAATCGATGTCAATGTCGTTATATATGATTTGATGACTTAGTTGAAATGTTGTAACTTTTATCGGAAGTGAGTCAAAATGGCCGTGAACTACGTCCGTTGGTTAAATCCATGTAACAACCTGGCTCGTATGAGAATGCGAATTAGAATAGAATAAAGTAATTTATATCTTATTCTTCTGTATTTCTTTATGTTTCATTGCAGCCCAGGGAGAGTGTTCATTTCCGTTCATTGAATTGGAAAACAAATGTGTTTATGTCACAGGCAAAAGAAAGACATGGAGAGAGGCCGTTCGATTATGTAACGCTTTAGGGGGGCATCTCCTTAATCTAGGAGATAAGAACTTAGGTGTTTTCAACGGTGAGCTGGAATTTATATATTTGTTATCCATAATTCTCTTAAAAGATGCTTAGTTTTTTGTATTTTTCTCATTCTCTTTCAAAGGAAATCTAAATGTTTCATTTCATTTTCGAAGGGCAATTCCACGATCTGACGACATTGTTATGCATCTCCTGTTCTAGTCACATACTATTCAACCAATCAAATGGGCTGTTAAAAAATATGTAATACTTACCGTATGTGAGCTGGAAATCATTTCTATCCACTGCATAATATATATTTTATATCTCGGTGATGAAGCGGTTACTATCCTTGTAAATAGGTTCGGACTTCAACCAGCAGAAAGACGGGATCTTTGGAACCTATATTTCACAATTCTGATGTTTCTATTATTCAATGCGTTTTAAATTTTCGTTTGATTTAGATTTGCCAATATTTTGGGTTGCTGGTCTCAAAGCAGACCCTACAACTGCAGCTAAATTTGATCAAGCTGGGTATGAAAATTACAAACTGCCCGGTGCCGTTCAAGCAACAGCAGTCGAAAACAATTGTGTCCGATTTGAGCCTAACACGAGAAGCTTCATTCACTCGAGTTGTTTCAGCGATACCATTAGATATCAAGTCATTTGCGAAGCGTGTAAGTAATATTTATTATCCATTTTCATTACTTTTGATGTAGAATATGAGTAGTTTCGATTCAAGCTGATTAAATGGTTTATTTAAGCAATAAATTGTAACACCATTACGGTTATGATCGGTGGTTTTTTAAAGTCAACCGCCCTACCGCACATAGGCCTACTCAATGCGCCAAAATAAATATTGTTAAATTTCAAGGGACATTCCGCTTATCTGTAAAAAAAAGTTTTCATTATTAAACACGTAATAAATTATACCTGAAAATATTTTTAAAGTATACTATGTATATCTATGTATCTTCTTGATTATTTCCAAGAGAGGATTTTTCCTAAGTTCTTGATACTTGTATCCAATCCTTTTGAGTATTTCAATAAAATATGTTAAATAATAAATAATTAAGCATTTTGATGTAGCATCATTCACATTTCTGTTAAAAAATTCATTTAAAAATTTCTGAAAAAGTGTAAAAAATGCATTCGCTAAAAGTTGTGTTGATAGGAGGTTTTATCACGACAAACTCAAATATGGGAAAGTTTTTTGTTCTCCCGAAAAATTATCAATTTTTACATACAGGGTTTCATCAGAACATAAAACCCTTACATAAGGTTTTTAAAATATTTTTGGCGTTTAAAAATTAACGGCTGGATCTTTTTAGTTAAAACTTTCAGATATGTTAAAGACACATTTCTTACTATTTTAAATGTGAAACGAAACAAATTTCTTATTCACATTTTCAAATCTAGCTCAAAATGACATTAATCCATTTTTTCACCCAAAAATGAAAATGGGTCACAATAAAACGTAAAAAAGGAAACAGGAAATTTATCACAACGTTTCCATTTTTGTTTTTTACATTTTATTTTGTGACTTCTTTGTATTAATTTGTGAATGACAGACCCAGACAAAGCGAAGACTGTAACAACTGAAGAATGTAGTGGTGCCCAACCAGATGATGATGGTAACGAATTGGAAACAGTCATCGGAATTCAAATGGCAAACGTAAGAAATTTTTGTAGCTTTGTTTATATTTTAGAGCACAGGTACATTTAGACAGGGTGACGATCTTCAAAATCTCAAATGCTTCGTCAAAGCCTATCATACCCACAAGTACCTGTGTAAATTTGTCAGCAATGGTATAAAGACACGAAACTCATTGTTGTTTAAGCCACACCCCTTCAATTAATACACGCTTATCCATATAGTATTGTATGAGGGATATTAACAAACATACAATTGAGGCTGCCATTTATTGTTCACGACTTTTGTGTGTTTGTGGATACATATTGCGGTTGTGCGGGGGGAGGGGGTGAATTTAGGCTGACTCAGCTTCGTCCCCCACTTTAAAACTTCATTGAATGAAAGGAAAAATTACCTGGTGTTCCCCCTTGCTAATTCTGTCGCACTTACTCAGACCTCTCACTGAATGATTCTTAGAACCGCCACTGATAATAACAAAACAAGACTACATGCTAGCGTTTTGATGGGCATGTTTGAAAATCACGTGACATCATTAATAATTGTTATCTCAATCTCGAATAGGAGATTTATATAGCCGCTATGGCTAAGTTAGACGCTTGCGCACTAACCTGAGAGTCCAGGGTTCAATCCCGGCATAGGCGAGATAATATCTAAGGATTTTTCAACCTCGTTTCCCTTTGTCAGTGTTGCAGGCAAGAGATCCCTCGAAAGTTCGAAATCGAAAAAGAGCAGGCTAATGCCGCTGTCCTGGCAAAATTTCACTCATTGCACCTTGCATGACGTTGCCCGTCCTCATTAGCCCACATGGTGCAGAAAAGTAGGACGTAAAACTCCATTGATTTCATCATTTTAATATTTTTTAGCCTACTTGCATATGTTCAAACCCAGTGGATATTAAGTGTTTCGCTAATGGAGCTGAAGTGACCTCTACTGATTCAGTAACATGTGGAGCAACCGATGAGGGCAAATTGTTGGATTGTGCCAAGGCCGATGGCGTATCTTGTCCAGATCATACTGTTAAAGGGAAATGTCAACCAAGTATGTACCATTTTATTTGTATCTCAAACAAAAAAATCATTCTGAAGCCACACCGATGATTGTACGATTATTTCGTAATGTAGAAAAAGGGAATTCCGAATCATTGTTCATCAGAATTTTGACACAATGATTTGTTTTTTTAGTTTTTAATTTGAATAAATTCGGAATATTACTTCGCATGGTTATAGCCATCTTCACAAATGTCAAGCTATTACAAACTTCTTCCTATCAATGTCAAGCTATTACAAACTTCATCTTCACAATGTCAAGCTATTACAAACTCCTTCTTCACAATGTCAAGTTATTACAAACTTCACCTTCACAATGTCAAGCTAATACAAACTTCTTCTTCTTAATGTCACGCTATTACAAACTTCGCCTTCACAATGTCAAGTTATTACAAACTTCACCTTCACAAAGTCAAGCTATTACAAACTTCATCTTCACAATGTCAAGCTATAACAAACTTCATCTTCACAATGTCAAGCTATTACAAACTTCATCTTCACTATGTCAAGCTATTACAAACTTCTTTCCCTCAATGTCAAGCTATTACAAACTTCATCTTCACTATGTCAAGCTATTACAAACTTCTTTCCCTCAATGTCAAGCTATTACAAACTTCTTCTTCACAATGTCAAGCTATTACAAACTTCATCTTTACAATGTCATGCTATTACAAACTTCATCTTCACAATGTCAAGCTATTACAAACTTCTTCCTGTCAATGTCAAGCTATTACAAACTCCTTCTTCACAATGTCAAGTTATTACAAACTTCACCTTCACAATGTCAAGCTAATACAAACTTCTTCTTCTTAATGTCACGCTATTACAAACTTCGCCTTCACAATGTCAAGTTATTACAAACTTCACCTTCACAAAGTCAAGCTATTACAAACTTCATCTTCACAATGTCAAGCTATAACAAACTTCATCTTCACAATGTCAAGCTATTACAAACTTCATCTTCACTATGTCAAGCTATTACAAACTTCTTTCCCTCAATGTCAAGCTATTACAAACTTCATCTTCACTATGTCAAGCTATTACAAACTTCTTTCCCTCAATGTCAAGCTATTACAAACTTCTTCTTCACAATGTCAAGCTATTACAAACTTCATCTTTACAATGTCATGCTATTACAAACTTCATCTTCACAATGTCAAGCTATTACAAACTTCTTCCTGTCAATGTCAAGCTATTACAAACTTCATCTTCATAATGTCAAGCTATTACAAACTCCTTCTTCACAATGTCAAGTTATTACTAACTTCACCTTCACAATGTCAAGCTAATACAAACTTCTTCTTCTTAATGTCAAGCTATTACAAACTTCGCCTTCACAATGTCAAGCTATTACAAACTTCATCTTCACAATGTCAAGCTATTACAAACTTCATCTTCACAATGTCAAGCTTTTACAAACTTCATCTTCACAATGTCAAGCAATTACAAACTTCATCTTCACAATGTCAAGCTATTACAAACTTCATCTTCACAATGTCAAGCTATAACAAACTCCATCTTATACCTTTACTCATCTTCACAATGTCAAGCTATTACAAACTTCTTCCTGTCAATGTCAAGCTATTACAAACTTCATCTTCACAATATCAAGCTTCTTCTTCTCACTGTCAAGTTATTTCAAAATTCTCCTTATACCTTGAGCGAATAGCCACCTTTCTTGTATCACATCTTCACTAGCTATTAATCCGTTAATCAAAATCTTGTCCAAAGAATGGCAAAATCGAGAGTAAATGTTGTATAGTAGTGGACTCCTCTAAAGAGAAGAACCATCAGGTGTTTCGAAAAGAGTAAGCATGATCTGCTTCGCTACTACTATCACAATTTTCCTTTTAAACCTTTCTTGTATCACATCTTCACTATGTCAAGCTATTACAAACTTCGTCTTATACCTTGAGCGAATAGCCACCTTTCTTGTATCAGGGAATGAAACCATTTGATTGGATAGTACGCCAGCAAATACAGCCAATCAAACAATATAAAAATGTAAATACTTTGTTTTCCCATTAGATACAAATTATATACAAGATTACAGAAAGAATAAAAATACAGAAAATAACATAACACATATAAACATTTACAATGTAACATGGTGAGGTAAGAAATAAAACAATGAAAACAAATTGTTTTTAAGATTATATGTATTATGTAAGTTAATATTTGACGTAAAATGAAATGGTGAGTAAATCTCAATTCCCTCTAGCTCAATTAAGTGCTGAAAAGGAACATATAATACCATGACTTCATTTCATTTTAGATGTTAACGAATGTGAAGAATTTGGTAATTTAGTTTGTGGAAATAAAGAAAATTGTGAAGATGAATATGGAGCGTTTAGGTGTGTCTGTGACGATGGTCAACTTTTCATAAATGGAGTTTGTGAAGGTAAGATATACCCTGATCAGAGAAAACAACCACTGTACCACAGACAAAAAATAGATAGAAAAGGACCCATTTCTTTTACAAGCGTATTCTGTGAACTGGATTTTTCTTGTCGAATATCTTGATTTATTATCCGTATCCATTTGGAATCTGGAATCACAATCACAATTACGCCTGACAACGGTTTGAGAGAGAAAATACTCAATTGAATTATGGCTTTTAGTGAAATCACAAAAAAAATGAAATGAAAGTATTACTGAGCCATCGCTGCTCCTCAGTGGAATCATTGGCTTAATCCAGGCCTGTTTATTTGTAACGGGCCAGCCCGGTTTGGCTCGGTAACCTGGGTTGGAATTTTTGAACACGGGCTGGAGATTACATCACCAAAATAAATAAAAAAGAATCTGCCTTAATGTAATAGCAGGAAAATACTGATGGTGTGCACACTGATTTTCTGTGCATTTTTGGGTGCATATCATGTTTAAGCATGAGCCGTTCTTGTTGTTGACGGAGAATATGACACAGACAATCAGTGTGCACACCATCAGCATTTTCCTGATATTACATTAAGGCACGATTTTTGTTATGATGTAACCTTCATACCATATAATCAGAATAATTGCCAGTCGTCGTTCATATAGAGACAAAAAATCCTACCCAGGTAACCGAGCCAGCTCGTTACAGGCCCTACGTCATCCTGCAGTTCTATCTCTTCAAATAATTATTTCACTCGAGAAACGTCAAATTCAAAGTGTAGAGTAAACTAACGAAAAACTTACTTTACTTGACAAGTCAAAATGCATTTGGAAGTTTATATTTTGGTTTTTGAACAATCTAGACAATCAAGTAGGGGAAATTCTTGAATATTCATACCGCAATTGCTTTGATTGCTTCGGAAACATGTGTTTTTTTAGGTCTATAATATAGGCCCCAAAATCATTTTGGTTTGGTCTTACTTCTATTTTATTGGTATTAACTTTAATTGTCCTTATTACTTCGTATTGTCCTTATTACTTCGTATTGGCCTTATTACTTCGTATTGGCCTTATTACTTCGTATTGACCTTATTACTTCGTATTGTCCTTATTACTTCGTATTGTCCTTATTACTTCGTATTGTCCTTATTACTTCGTATTGGCCTTATTACTTCGTATTGGCCTTATTACTTCGTATTGGCCTTATTACTTCGTATTGGCCTTATTACTTCGTATTGACCTTATTACTTCGTATTGGCCTTATTACTTCGTATTGTCCTTATTACTTCGTATTGGCCTTATTACTTCGTATTGGCCTTATTACTTCGTATTGACCTTATTACTTCGTATTGGCCTTATTACTTCGTATTGGCCTTATTACTTCGTATTGTCCTTATTACTTCGTATTGGCCTTATTACTTCGTATTGGCCTTATTACTTCGTATTGACCTTATTACTTCGTATTGGCCTTATTACTTCGTATTGTCCTTATTACTTCGTATTGACCTTATTACTTCGTATTGGCCTTATTACTTCGTATTGACCTTATTACTTCGTATTGGCCTTATTACTTCGTATTGGCCTTATTACTTCGTATTGGCCTTATTACTTCGTATTGACCTTATTACTTCGTATTGACCTTATTACCCCTAAATACCAAACTATTGCTATTGTTTTTAGTGAAATTATTATGTGTGTACGTCTTTCTCTTTTGTGAGCACAATGAAAATTATCTTGATTTACGACTTGCTTTTTTTGCTACTGAATAAAGGTGGATACCTCAGGCTAGACCCCTACTCTACACTCATAGTCGTGCGCTCGATGATTTCACAGTGAGATGTTTAGTTAAAGTGTGCAGTGATGATATGTGTCGGACGTTTTTCTTTGGCGTTTTTATTTGTAATTGCCCGTGGTTTTCTTTGCAATCTTTTTTAATATGGTAAAACCTGACTAAATAGAACAACTTTAATCATAATTGTCAAAATTTATCCTAAACTAAAAGCGCCTCTTTACCCTCAGTTATTAGTAATTATACCTAGGTTGAAAATCACCGATATCTTGTCTAACAATGTGCAGAAACAAAAAAACCTAAAACTCTTTTCTCATTTTCAGAGACGTCTACCTGTACTGTGGAAGTGACAAATCCTGACACATTTAAGCTGACAACATTTGCCTCGACGCCTTTCGCCAAACCTACAGGACAGTGTAAATTATCATTATTAAAATGTCTAGATTTGATCATTTTTGTTTCAAAAACAGCCGACAACCTGAAGACTCTGTCTCTAAAAGGAATTTGTAGTGAGATTGATCTAGTCGAAACATCTTCGATCCTACCAATTAACAACATTATGGTAGGTAGACTTGATCGAAAAGTTGTTAAAGAAATCCTTTAAATAGTCAACCCTGTAAACATGTCGCCATTTCAACTTTCCGATTCATATAATTGTTGATACCCATAGATTTGAAGGCTAAGATTTCGAAGGTGAGGTGTGAACACTATTACTGATCATCGTATCCCAAATACGGATTGTGGCATGGTCTTATAATATTATGACGAATGGGGGCCTGGTTTGGACACGATGCATTGCTGATTGGCTTAGATGGAATAAACCCCGTTTTTGAGACTAAGGTTTGATTGATCAAACGGATGCTGAGTCTGTCCCTTTACTGTTCAGTAGCTTTTACTGTGAGTACTAGTTGTGTATTAAGGAGTTAGGCGACGTCTCCCCTCAGACCTGTGAATGATATTTTTTGATAAATAAGCCTTAAAAATGCTCAAAATTTTCATCTCAGGCCATCTTGGCTTCTGCAAGGCATATCGCATACTACCTTCATTAAGACGCTTCTACCCTTCGGAGAGACATGGAGAGACACCTCTCATTTTTATATGCCCACATGCAAATGACGTATATTGTCGTCGCCCCTGTCCGTCGGTCTGTCCGTCCGTTCATTCACATTTCTTGCGCGATAGCGGCTACAGTTTCTATTTGATCTTTATGAAACTTGGTGTGCATTTATATACTGATGAGATTTCGGTCAAGTTCAAAATTGGTAATAATCAGATGAGCGGTTTCAGAGTTATTGCTCTTGACTTAGTAAAAACGCGTCAACTTTTGCTTGTAGGCACAATATAGGCTACAGTTTGTTCTCGATCTTGATGAAACTTGGTTTGCATGTATATATGATGGTTCTCATTCAAGTTTGAAATTGGTAACAATCGGATGAACGGTTTCAGAGTAATTGCCGTTGACTTGCTAAAAACACATCAAATTTTTGCAGTTATTGACCGTGTGTATATTGATGAGACCTTGTTCATGTTTGAATTTGATTGTAACTAATTTGAAGTTTTGCCTTGACTTAAAAGTATTTTTAAGATTTATCAAAATTCATTATAAAACCTCTTAAAACTTGGTTATAATTTCTTACAGCTGGTAGTGGGCGTATGTTACCTTGCCTGGCAAGTTATCTTTTTACAAACATCAGGCATTTTACAGATACGCTTCTGATGACCTCTCGTTATTTTGAAATCAAATGCATTACAAACTTCCCTTTGATGCTGAGAAAATGTTACAAATTCAAATAAACTGACTGATTTGATAAAATTAAGATAAATTTGTCCACAGCTAAATACAAAAAAAAAAAATACAGCTTATAAGATTAAAGTCGCCTTTTCTATTTACCTGTTTTGTATCACGAACGTTTTTAAATTGCAGTGATTTGATTGGATTGTACACCAGCCAATCCCAACCCTCGACAGACAGACTGAAAACATTGTGGCTTACAGACTTTCTGTCTAGGACTCTGATTGGCTGTCTTCGCATAGTTTTTATACACCCACAAATATATTTTGGGCGTGTATTGTAATCACCCTGGCGATCCGTTTGTCCATGGGTCCGTTTACATTTGGCACCTGCTCACTCTACATGCTACAGGGTCAATGTCATTATGAAGATGATCAGTATCGATTTTGGTGATGATCTGATAATTTACACCCAAATATCGTCTTCGACTTAGCGTTTTCGCTCTATTAGCTATATAGTGCAACTCGTGCTTACTCTACAGGATACAATTCTTTACAGATTCTTGTGCTTTTTATTTTGTAGGTCAATGTCATTATGAAGATGATCCCTATCGATTTTCAGGAATACTTAGTGTATTCACTCTTTTGGCCATATAGTGCTCACTCTTTAATCAACAATTAATTCTTTATGGATTCTTTTGATTTGTATATGCCCATACGTAGGTTGGAAGCATATTGTCATCCGTCCGTCTGTAGACAATTAGCTCATGCTCACTCTAGAGGCTACAAACAATGATTTGCTATCACAGCTGCTGGTGGGCGTTCTTAGATCTTTTGATAATTTGACTTTCACAATTTGAATCATTGAGACTGCAACGGATGTTTAAGATATAATACTTTCTAGGCTGAATCAATCCTTAAGTTCTATTTAGGAATAAGGGCCTTGTTTCAAAAAAATCTTACGATCAATTTTTGTACGCCCACATGGAAATGTGGACGTATATTGCCGTCGTCCGTCGGTCCGTCCGTCCGTTCACATTTCTTGTAGGCGTGATAGAGGCTACAGTTTTTATCCAATCTGAATGAAACTTGGTATGCATGTATATATTGATGAGATCTCGGTCAAGTGCGCAATTGGTAATTGTCGGATGACCGGTTTCAGAGTTATTGCCCTTGACTTAGTAAAAACTCGTCAAATTTGGCTTGTAGGCGCGATAGAGACTACAGTTTTTATCTGATCTTGCTGAAACTTGGTATGCATGTATATATTGGTGAGATCTCGGTCAAGTTCGAAATTCGTAATTATCGGATGAATGGTTTCTGAGTTATTGCCCTTGACTTAGAAAAAACGTGTCAAATTTGCGTTTTAGGCGCGATAGAGGCTACAGTTTTTATCTGATCTTGCTGAAACTTGGTATGTATGTATGTATTGATGAGATATCGGTCAAGTTCGAAATTAATAATAATCGGATGAACGGTTTCAGAGTTATTGCACTTGACGTAGTAAAAACACCTCATATTTGGCTTGTAGGCAAAATAGAGACTACAGTTTTTATCTGATCTTGATGAAACTTGGTATGCATGTATATATTAATGAGATCTCGATCAAGTTCCAACGTAGTAACAATTGGATGAACCGTTTCAGAGTTATTGCCCTTGTGTGTACAATGATGAAACATTGTTCATGTTTGAATTTGATGTTAAGTTTATGAACTGTTTCAGGTTTTTGCCTTGACTTATAGATGATATTAAGATTATTTGAAAATTCATTATTAAGCCACTAAATATTTTGTTATCATTTCTGACAGCTGGTAGTGGGCGTATGTTACCTTGCCTGGCAAGTTATATTTGACTTACGTATGGTATTTCTTAAAGTGATATTCAACATCTACACTTACGAATTTTTATCGTAAGATTTTTTGTAGAACGCAGCCAAGATGACGTGAGATAACAGGTTTATTTATCGAATCAAGTATGAATGTTTATCAATTCTATTTTTAGGTTAATAATAATCTGTTAGCAAATTCAGTGGAAAGTGGCTCATGTAAGATAGAAAAAGACGTTGATAGTGTTACCATCACAGCTTTTGATAAATCGTTTGAATTAACCATTAACGAAGATTTTGATGTCTCATTACAATTGATAGATTCAAAAAGTGACTGCCTAGGTCTCTGCAAAGTCGGTTCTGATATTGAAACTATATTCCGTTCGTAAGCTCTTTAGTCAATATTTTATTAATTGCAGTTGGTATCATAATTGGATGAGGGAAGGAGAGGGGGAAGGAGAGGAGGGGAGGAAATAGGGAAAGGAGATGGGGGGAAAGAAAGGAGGGGAAGTAAAGGAGAGTGGGGAAAGAAGAGGAGGGAAAGGAGTAGAGGGAAAGAAGGGGGTGGGGGAAAAGGGATGAAGGAAAGGAGAGGAGGGAAAGAAAGGAGGGAAGTAAAGGAGGGGAAGTAAAGGTGGGGAAGTAAAGGATAAGGGGAGAGGAGGGGGGGGGGGTCGGGGAAAGAAGAGGAGAGAAAGAAGAGGAGGGGAAGTAAAGGATAGGGGGGGGGGGGGGGAG